GTGCTGTCCAATCCAGTTCAGTTTTTTTACAGAAGCCCTGTGAAAGCATCACAGCTTTGCCGATCTCAGAGTGTTAAAAGAAAAAAAAATTCCTGTATCTGCATCGTGATCCAGAACATCACCAAAATTTAAAGGTGTGTTCCTTGGCCCAGTACCCACAAGTGGTAAAAATGTCATGACAATCCATCCACAAGTTTTTGAGTAATGTTGTCCACAGACAGACAGACAGACAGACAGACAGACAGACAGACAGACAGACAGACAGACAGACAGACAGACAGACAGACACGACAGAAAACATTACCTCGCCATTGGAGGAGGTAATAAGAGAAAAAGCATTCACAGTGGACACATTTATCTTCTTATTACTGATGGTGACGATGGTTAACTGTTAATAAGATGACTTCTTATTATGGCCAGCTCACATTTACATGTTAAGATAATAACGCCAATTATATTAACAGATTTCATTGAGGTTATAAAAGAGAAGTTAGATTATTGTTTGAATAAAGCATAATAAAGTGGGAGTTTTCCCCTTCTAGTTTGCACACCCCTGAACTTACCGTTGCTTTAAGATGTGTTTTATTGTTAGGTTATTTTTATTGTTGTGTTAGTTTCTGTCTTCTGTGTTCAGAAAAGAAGAAATAAAATTGTTTGATTATTAAGACAAATGAACAGAATTAGTAGTATACTGCATTTATTATCATATTTTTCATTGTTTTCTGCTTTTAAAGACAGCGAGACACAGATCTGTTTTAAATGTACTTTGGTACAAAGATCCTCTTTATCCTGGATGTTGAAGTTTTTGTTTTTGACAGTTTTGCTCCAAAATAATGTTTTAATTTGTTTTAATGTTGTAATTTATATTTATGTAAACAAATTGAAAATTCTAAAATTAACATGCTTGAATTGATTATTTAAAATAAAATAAATAGATGCCACAGAAGAATCATCCAAGACAAGCTGTAGCTATCCTTATTAATTAATTTGCAGAATCCGATTAAGGTGTTTTTATTTATTTTTATGAATATTTTTCCAAACAGTTTAATAAAAACATAAAGTGGATGTTCTGAGTTGACCTCTGGCAAACATCTAATTGACTCACTGCAGACATSAGGGCTCAGGTGAACGGATTTAAAATGTTTGTAGACTCACGGTGAGCTGGTGGTCTTTGGATCCCCCCGTGTCCTTCATGGTCCAAACGGGTCCGGATGAAGGGGAAGGCGCGTCAGCGGCGGACCGGACACTGGACCATCCTGCTCCGTAGGGGGCTCGGTACCTGCACGCATCCACCTCACCCTAAAAAGATACTACTCAGACACGAGGACTCACGTCTGCTGACTGAAAAATCACCCCAAACTTTTTCGGCTCAGGTACCAAGAGATGCTAATTACCCTTTTTTTCTTTTCTTCTARTTGGACAGCAGCTACTCGCCTCCTTTAGGAAGAGCCGAATGTAGCCCACCTACAGTACAGGTAGCGCTGCTTCCTCCTAGCTTCTCTCTTCTGCTGCTCTGCTTTTTTGTTGTGGTTGTGTATTTTTTTTRCCCCTGCGCGTGCTTGTATGTGTTTTTGCGTACGCGCGTGGTGTCCCTGGAGATCTTCAGCCAGCAGCGCGTGCACGTGCCGTCATCAAGTCAGCTACTGTAAACAATGGCGGCCCACTTCCGGTTGTAAAATAAAACACTGACCACGCTGAACATTTGAATCTGACAACTATGAAAAATAACTATCTGGTGCGCAAACGCAGACTTTTGTCAGTTT